ATATATTATCGTTTTTATCATTATATTCATGTCATTAATAAATCCTTTTAATATTGTTTGATAAAATTCTTGCTATTCTTTATAATAAGCATATGACGGTTTGACTTTTGTTATTATAATTTGACTATTATCACCTTTAGATAATTCGAGTGGTAATTTTATTTGATGTGTAATAATTTCGTTCAAATGTCCTTTTAGGCTTGTCCATGCAGGTCTACTAATATTTGTAGCAATAAAATATTGATATTTATTTGAATCATGGATAAATTGAATTAATTTAGAACAATGTTCACAATTACAATCAGTTTCTTTTTTTATCGTATGTAAATCTCCATGTTTTATCATCTTTAATTATATTCGAAATGGATGAAACATTTTTAATTATACTATCAATAACGTAATTATACAATGACACTAACTATTCTCTACGACTATGTTAATCATGTTTTATTATTTTAATTAAATATGGTATAATATCACTAATAACTTGTTCACAATTAGATGAAATATCTAGAATATAATCAGATATTAATTTAAATGATAAAATATAAATTTAAATGCGAATAAATTCATTAATTGTCCTATTGTTAGTGACGATTTATTGTTGCTAATGTCAAATATGAATGATAATAGTGTATTTATCATTGTCGTTATAATAACACCACAGTTGTTGGATGTATCAACAATAATCATTTCTGAAATAAATTCAATTACACTATCTATTTTATTATCTCTGTGATACGATTCGTATTTCAGATGCTTAATAGTATAATAATATGGTTCAATAATAAAACCGCCTGTATGATACCAACGATTTGTACCTGTACCTTCATTACCTGTTAATAGAAGAGATGGATCCGTAGTTTAGTATAAAAATTCAGTAAGAGTGATCACTAAATAGTTTCTCGAATCAGTTCGCAGCAGAGATGCAACCGGACCGGGCGCCCGTTCCGGGTCCTGTTCCTGTCCGGTTAAGCTTTATCAACCGACCGGTTCTGGTCAAACTGTTGGACCGGGCCTCGTTTACTTGGACAGAGACCGGTTGACTTGGCTTATAATTAGGAAATATGACAGAAAAAACTGTATTTATATCGAACAGAAAGCAGAAAACATCACGAAACCCTTTAGCTATGAACTCTACTAGTATATGGGTGAAAAGTTCCACTGTTCTTATAGCAATTACTATCTCGAAACAGTTTTTGGGAGATGTGAGTACCGGTCGCTTACCTGTAAAATGTTTTGAACAAAGGTCGGTCAACCGGCCTGTTCGGTCTGATCCGCGCGGGTCGCCGGTGACCCACCGCTACCGGTCATAATTTTGTTGACCGGTTGTATCTCTGGTTCGCAGGGTGAAAGTGTTTCTCTTTATATTTTAAATTTCTCAGATAACTGCATGACTAGCTTTTTCCCTCATCTTTCAGGAGGCAGCGAAACGAAGCTGCCACTATATATTATCGTTTTTATCTTTTAGCTTCGAATCTCTACACCCGGTGTGTAAACTTTCCTTCGAAAAATACTAAACTTTTGTAAACAGTCGATATTCAGCAAAGTACATCACTGGATAGCTCGAACTGAGATGTGTTCACAGAAAATCGAAGTCACATATATTAACAAACATGCTGATTTCTACATCAAACATCTATGATCAAAATGAGACGTCTATCAGCCCCCAGCAATGTTTTAATCAAAACGTTTGAGAGTTTCTCTAGAAACAATAAAATGTGCACTGTGTACTAGTGCCATTGTATCTCGAAGGCAACTATCAGCTTTACGACGTTTCGTATTTGCAGGAATTCTCGCCGAGTTTAAGTTGTAGAGAACTGGGATCACAGACTGAAGCTCAGGTTGATTTCTCAAAATTTTTATAGCTGCACTATAAACTTTCTATTGTAAGCATTAAGATAAAATGTCAGCAATTGCAATGAAATATTTGAGAAATGACTTCTTTTTAAAATATCCTTAACCAGTAAGATTTTATCATGGACACAGTATAAGACTCCCTTCGAACTTATTTGTAAAACTCGATATAAAAGGTCTATTGTAGACGCTCCTAGCAGCACAGATGAATATCAGATTCGGGACTAACATCGGAAACTACTTCTATAATCAAGTAGTTTTCAGAGTACAAGCGTTTGCTTGCTTGGGCCCTTCTCTCATTGGATGGATACTTATTAAAAGCTACTAACAATCAAAATCTTGTCACTAATACATAGGAGGCAGTGCACGATAGAAACGCACTTTTACAGCATAGCGTGCTCAATGCACTGTCACAGATTTTTCTCAAATAATCAGAGCAGATAGAGAAATGTGTCCTGAACATTTTTGTCTCTTGATATTTTTTTCCAAAATGCTTTCCCTTGCCGCTAGAGTGCTTGCAAAAAAAGTCGTA